CCCCCTGTCTGGCCTGATGGCACTTCTGCCTGCATTGGGGGTCCCCCTTCTCCGGGATGCCGGGGGTCCCGCGGCTCCGGGGGGTTCCCACTCGCCAGGGTCCCCTTGAGTGTTGCCAGGGGGGTCCCAGGGCTCACTTCTCCCCACTCTGCCTCCCGGGGCTGGCCGGCCCTCCTCTCTCGCCTCCCACCCTCGCAAACCTCTTGGCGCTCTCGGCTCCCACCCCGCCTCAAGGCCCCCCCTCCTCTCCACACTCCAAGGCCTTCCCCCTCTCCGGGACCCCCGCTTAAGGGGCCCGGCGCTCCCTCTCTGCTCCCCCCCCTCCAGCATTCCGGGGGTCCCCCAGCTCCGGGATCGCCCCTCTCCGCTCTCCCCACTCCGCGGCTACCGGGGTTCCCCCCCGGCTCTCACGGGGGCCCCCAAACCGCTCTCGCCCCCCCCGCCATTGCCGAGCCACCGCCAGGACCTTTGGGCTGCTCTTCTTTGTGCTCCCGCTCGGCTCCTCCCTCGGCTGGGCCGCCACTTTTGGCGGGTTTCCTCCTCCGGGATCCACCCCCTGCAGCCCTTCCCCCCCTGGCCCAGCCCCCTTGGGCCCCCCTTGGGCCCCCCTTGGGCCCCCTTTGCTCAATAAGTCTGATTATACAGACAAGCAATTGGTTTTAATCCACAAAACCCAAATGTAGAACCCAGCACCCTGGGCCATGAACAAAGTGCTGTTCCTTGGGACCCCCCCTAATCCAAAGTAATGGGAGAGGGGATAAAAAACCTGCTGGTGGGAGAGCTGTTGCAGTCGGTCCAAAGTGGTGGTTGCAGTCCAGTTGAGGGGGGTGGTCTCAGGCTGGTTGAGAGCGGTGAGCTGCAGTCCTCCTCTGGATCCCACGAGTGGTAAAAAGGTTCTGAAACTCCAGGTTTATATATTCTCCAGTTCAGGCAGGAATGCCCAGTCCTCCCCTCACAGCGGGGAATTCCATAAAAGGATGCTTAGTCCTCCCCTCAGAGCGGGGAATTCCATAAAAGGATGCTTAATTCGTTCCTTCAGAGCGGGGAATTCCATAAAAGGGTATGAGGATACTCAGAGTAGGGAATTCCATAAAAGGGTATGAGGACAGGAACACCCCCCCACCTCGCAGGCCCCTCCCCCCCTCCCCCACCCCCACCGACAACAGTTCCTGGGAAAATGGCATGGAAGGCCAGAGAATCCACAGTTTTGGGCTACACCCATCCAGTGAGGAATCGGTCCCAGCTGTTCTAACTAGGACAGAATTCTAGACTGGGATCACGGCTGGATTCTGGAGTGGGATTGGAATGGGATTGGATGTGGGATGGATGGAGCAGGATCAGGAGGGAATCCGGAGCAGTTCCTACTCTCCCTGGGATCCACAGCTGGATCCATCCCTTTTGATGGGAACAGGGACATGGTGACTCCTTTCCGCACTCTCATCCCAGCAGGAATCACAGCCTGAGCGATCCTGGAGCTGGATCTGCCCCTTCCCTCTCCCTGCGGAAAGGCAGGAGCTGCTGGCAGAGCTCATCCCGCTGCTCCCACCCACCCCGGCCCCCCTGCGGCTCTTCCCGATGGATCAACTTCTTGCTTTTTCCCGTGTGAAACCCAGGACCACAATTATTCCTGAGGCTTTAATTTGGGTGGGAAAATCTCCTGCTTTGGGCAATAAATCCTGGCTCCCTCCTCCGGCATCCGGCAGTTCCTCTGTGGGAACCAGGAATAGGAATGGGGACAGGGGGGAATGGGATGGGGACATTGGGGACAGGGATGGGGACACTGGGAGCAGGTTGGGGACAGCAGGTATGGGAATGGGAACTCCAGGAATGGGAATGGGGACATTGGGAGCAGGTTGGAGTCACCAGGAATGGGAACTGGGACACCGGGAATGGGAATGGGGACATGGGAGACCAGGATAGGGATAGTGGGGACAGGAACGGGGACACTGGGAGCAGGTTGGCACAGCAGGAAGTGGGAAGACAGGGAGGAACCCAGGAATGGGAATGGGGAGAGGGATGGGAACCCCAGGAATGGGAATGGGGACAGGGATGGGAACGTGTCTCTCCAGGAGTTGGTTCAATACAAAGGTCGGTCCCTGGCTCGAGGCCACGGGAAGCCCCTTCTTTGGGAATGTCTGGGAAGCAGGTGTCAGAGGTTTGAAAAGAGGTGTTGGAATTGTTTCCCAGTGTCCCCCCCATTGCCATCTGTGTCTCCCGGGATGGGGTGGGTTGGAGCGGAGCCGCAGGCGCTGGGCAGGGGCAGTGGGGGGAGGGCGGCTCTCGGGGACACCGCGGTGGCCGCGGGGAGGGCGGGGGGTCCTTTGTTCGGGGGCTTTTGGGGTTTGTCCGGGACCGGACAGAGCGGGAGCTGGTTTTGGCCACCTTGTTCTCTTTTCCTGAGAGGAAGTTTTTTCCCCATGGGACACCTCATGGAGAATGACCGAGAGAGAAAGAGAGAGAGAGAGCCCGACCCATCTGGGAGCGAGGTGTTCTGCTTTGGGGACTGCCCCTGGGAAAAGGGACTCCTTCACTGCTGGCTGCGAGCACACGGGGCTGCGAGAGCTTTGAACTGCCGGGACAGTTTCTCCCCCCCACCTGGGGATTTGGGACTTTCTTTGGTTTCTTCTCAAAGTTTTTGGTTGCACCATTTGTTGTTTATTCAGATTTTGTTAATAAAAAGCTGTTTCGTTTCCTTTTCCACACTTCTACCTGAAGTCTCTTAATTTCTAAGTTGGAATCTTGTTAAACTAAGACCCAGTGCCCTCAGGGGGAGGAGGAGGAAAGGAGACCAAGAGGTGCCGTGGCCACTCAAACTGCAGAGGAACAACCTGTGCCAGTAGCAGTTGCCCCTCTACAGAAGAAATCCAAGACCAAATCAGCTCAGTTAGTGAGGGATGAAGGGGAAGCAGAGCCCTCAGAACAGGAGCAAGAGGCAGGGCCAGAGATAATCACCAGATCCCCATCCCCAGCTGACCTGTGAGAGATGTGAAAAGATTTCAGCCTCCAGCTGGGACAGCCCCTGCTGACCTGGCTGCTCCAGTGCTGGGATATCATGGCCCAGCATATGGAACTAGGTGGGAGTGCAGCCAAGCAACTGGGATCCCTGTCCTGGGATCTTGGGATTGACCAGGGGATTGGGAAGAGGACAGAAACTCTCAGTCTCTGGAGGTGAGCCCTGTCAAGTGTTAGGGAAAGGTGTTCTCTCAAGGCCATCTAAGAGTGTGCCCAAGCAGATGGAACACCTGGGAGAAAGGGATCCAGTAGCTGAGAGAATCAGCTGTGCTGGAGATAATCCACGGGGATTCAAATAAGGACCCTGTAGATCCAGGTGAGGTCCAGTGCAGACAATCCCTGTGGGGGAGGTTTGTACGGGGAGCACTGTTGTCACACACCAACTCACTGGCAGTGATGGCATGGAAAGAACAAAACAGTGCTCCAGGTGACCCCCGACTCTGGCAATATGAAGATCATCTTTTCTCCTCCCGCCAGACCCGTCCCTTGTTGCGGGGGAGTGGAAGGCTGAGAGAAAGTTTAGTAGAGAAGCCCTTTTGTGGAGCTACGAGGTGCAGGAAGGACCCTCTGGCTTTCTAAACTCCTTCTCAGGGAGGAGCCCGGGGGCGGCTGGATCCAATCCCAGCCCCAGACTTTGTCAACAGGTCAAGTTAAAGGACTTACAGAGGTGTGCTAGAATCACTGTCCTGCAGGTTTTAATGATGCCAAATCAGAGATATTTATATAAAATGAATCCTTTATTATGACAAAGGAACAAATAAACAGATGAGCGAACAGACAAAAGACCTTGATCAGAATTATTTACTATAGAGTGTAAAAGCTAAAACCTACTCATAGAGTATAAAACAGCATAAAATAATGCACTGTATCAAAGTAATTCCAAATCCAATTTTATCAGAGCAGGCAAAAAGAAACAATCTTCACCTAGAGACTGATGTAACTCACCACACAACTTAACCCCTGAGTAACCACAAAGTGCTGTCCCTGCTCCACAGGAGAAGCTCCACACACTCCAAGAAAGTCTGTGGAAGAATCTGCCATGTGAAAGTTGGACTGGGCTTTTAAGTTATAAAGTGATGGACTGCCAGTGCCATTTCTCCAGGCCAGCCAGCAGCTTATCTGTCAAATCCTGCTTCCAAAAGCAGGGGGGGTGTTTGCAGTTGTGAACCAGGCTGGTTTTAGCACAGTCCAACACTAAAGCAGCCCCTTGGCACCAGGGGTAGCTCAGCACAGACAGTTGGATTGTTTGGATTCTCTGACTGCATTTTAGGCCTTATGAGGGCAGAGCATCCTGCCAGACCCAACCCACTGTTCCCCCAGTTCTGCCCTTCCGGCGCTCCCTGCGCGTGACTCTGTCGGAGCCCGTGTCACGACCTGCTCCCGAGGCACAGCAAAAGGTTCTTTTCCTGAGGGATCCCTTGGAGGGGATGGAAGAGAAACGTTGCTGGAGAACCAGAGTGACAACAGGAATGGCTCTGAATTTTGGCACCTCTGAAATCAGAACCGTGGATCGATCAGGCGGTGAATCCTGCCAGGATGAGAGCAGGGGACAGAGTCACCACATGCCTATCCCCATCCCATGGGATGGATCCAGCTGTGGAGCCCACAGAGAGGAGGAACTGCTCCAGAATCCCACCTCATCCTGCTGCATCCATCCCACCCAATTTCACTGTGGAATCCCACCCTGGTCCCACTCCATCCATCCCACTTGATCCTGCTCCAGAATCCAGTCCTGATCCCACTCTGGAATCCTGCCCTGATCTGGACGCAGTCCTGCTCTATCCATCCTGCCCTAATTCCCCTCTGGAATCCCACCTGGATCCTGCTCCATACCTGTGGGGAACCTGTTGGTTCCTGTGTCTGTTCCTGTGAAAAGAAGATCCATGAGATTCTGGCATGGATCACACACCTGGATCTATACGAGGATCCATCATGGGATCCATGTGGAGAGGATCTGGACCGGGATCCAGATACGCTGCTGGTACTCACTGGTGGCCATGTTGTATCCATTCCCCTCCCTCTTCCCTATGGAAAGAAAGGGGGATCAGCACCTGTGGCACAGGATCCCCGGAATGCTGCCGGGCGGATCCGTGCCCCTTCCCGACCCCCATCCCGGGAGTTACCGGATCAGAGCTTCCAGACACTGAATCCGATGAGGCCGATGATGATGATGATGATGATGGCACTGCCAACAGACACAGTGACCAGCACTGGGGTGGAATTCCAGATGGATTCCGGCTCTGGGAAGGGCAGAAGGGTGAGGAGGGGGAGGGGACCCCCAATTCCACTGCTCCACATTCCTGAATTCCTCCTTCCCAAATGCCCAGTTCCCACATTGCCCGTTCCCAGCCTCACCCCAGGCGAAGATCCCGGGCTCCGGCATTCCGGCGTGCTCCACCCGGCACCGGTACTGCTCCCGCTCCCCCGGCAGCGTGTGGAGACCTGGGCAGAGGGTGGGATTGGACCCATGGAGACCCGCAGAGTTGTGTTCCAGCCCCACAGAGCCCCAATCCAGCCGTATGGAGCCCCACGGATCCCCATTCCAGCCCCACAGATTCCACCCCAGCCCCATGGGTCCCTCTGGCCCCACAGATCCCAGCCCAGCCCCACAGATCCCAGCCCAGCCCCACAGACTCCCCCTGTCCCCAGGTGCCCCCACTCACCCCCGCTCTGGTTGTACCGGCCCCGCAGCGTCTCCACGTTGCTGATGGCCACGTGCTGGTTCCCCCTGTGGATCTGGGTCTGTCCATCCCAATATCCCGGCTCGGCTCCGGCCGCCATCCACGGCGTCTGCGGCTCCGCCCGGCCCCGCTCGCTGTCGTAGCGCTGGAAGGGGATCCCGTCCAGGTACCCCACAGCCACATACTGGGGGACCCCCAGGCCAGGTTCTGACATGGTCACGCTCAGGAAACGCAGGGAGTGGAGAACTGAGGGAACATGGACATTTGGGGAATCTGGGGAGTCCAAGAGCCAAGGAAAGGGGGAAGTGGGAGAGCTGGGAGAGCTGGGAAGGCTGGAAAGGGTCCAAGGTTCAAAGGAAGAGAGGTGCAGGGGCTGGTAGAGGTGGAACGGGGGGTCCAGGGTGTTCCTGTGCCCAGGAAATCAGTGTCCAGGGGTCTCCAGTGTCCCCACCCCCATTACAGGGTGGGGAGAACCAGGATGGTCAGGAATGGGGGTCCCGTGGTTCCAAAGTGTTGATGAAAAGGGGGATCTGGGGGCTGGGAAAGGCAGGAATGGGGGTCCAGGGTCCCAGAGTCCAGAAAAAGGGAAGGTTTGGAGTCTGGGAAAAGCTGGATGGCCAGGAAGGGGATGCAGGGGGGGGTTGGTTCAGGGGAGTCCCTGTGCCCAGGAATGGGGGTGCAGGGGGGTCCCAGTGCCCAATAAGGCTGTACAGGGGGTCATACTCCCAGATAAGGGGGTTCAGGGGGCTCTGGGTGCTGAATAAGGGGGTGCAGAGGAGTCCCCCTGCCCAGGAATGGAGATTCAGGGGGGTCCCAGGGTCAAGGAAAGGGGGGTGAGGACACTGGGAGAGGTGTGATGGAGATTCACGGGGTCCCTGTGCCCAGGAAAGGGGGGTCCAGTGGTACCTGATGTTGAGGAAAGTGAAGGCTGGGGGCTGGGAAAGGCAGGAATGGGGGTCCAGGGAGTCCCAGGGTCAAGGAAAAGGGAGGATCAGGGGGCTGGGAGAGGCAAGATTGGCAGGAAAAGGGGCATGGGGGGGTATTTGTTGAGGATAAGGGGGTTCAGAGGGGTCCTGGAGCCAGGGATGGGGGGTCCAGGGGGGTCCCAGTGCCCAAGAACAGGTGTCCAGGGGGGGTCTCTGTGTCCAGGAATGGGGGTTCAGGAGGTCCTAGTGCCAGGTAAGAGGATTTAGGGGAGCCCCGGCGCTGCGGGAGGGGGTGCAGGGAGATCCAAGTGCCCAGGAATGGAGGTGGGGGGGATTCCTGTGCCCGGGAATGAGTGTGCGAGGGGGTCTCGAAGCCCAGGAGTGGGTGTTCAGGGAGTCTCCTTCAGGGAATGGGGGTTCAGGGGGTTCCTATGCCCGTGAGTTTTCAGGGGGGGGTCTCGGTTCTTAGAAATGGACACTAGGGGGTCCCGGTGCCGGATAAGGAGGTTTAAGGGAGTCCCGGTGCTGAGGGAGAGGGTGCAGGGGGGTCCCTGTGCCCAGGAAAAGGGGGGTCCAGGGGTCGCTGCTGTTGAGGAAAATGGGGTCTGGAAAAGGCAGGAATGGGGGTCCAGGGGGTCTCATGGACAAGGAAAAGGTAGGTCTGGGAGAGGCAGGACGTCCAGGAAAGGGGGTGCAGGGGGATGTTGGTGCAGGATAAGGGGGTTGAGGGGGGGTCCCAGTGCCCAGGAATTGCGGTCGAGGGCGTTCCCGGTGCCTGGGACCCCCCTGCAGGAAGCACAGGGAGTGGAGAACTGGGGGGGTCACAGAGATTGGAGGGTTTGGGGGGTCCAAGGGTCAAGGGAGCAGAACTGGGAGAGCTGGGAAGGGTCCAAGGTTCAAGGAAAGTGGGGGCTGGGAGTGGGAAAGGAGGGACAGGGGATCCAGGGGGTCCCTGTGCCCAGGAAAGGGGGGTCCAGTGGTCCCCGGTGTTGAGAGAAGTGGGGGCTGGGGCTGGGAAAGGCAGGAATGGGGGTCCCAGGGTCAAGGAAAAGGGAGGATCAGGGGGCTGGGAGAGGCGGGATTGGCAGGTAAAGGGGCACAGGGGAGTATTTGTTGAGGATAAGGGGGTTCAGAGGAGTCCTGGAGCTGGGGATGGGGGTGCAGGGGGGTTCCCGAGCCCAAGAATGGGGGTTCAGGGGGGTCCCAGGACTCAGGAATGGGGCTCCAGAGGCGTCCCTGTGCCCGGGAATGGAGGTTGAGGGAGGTTCCCGGGAACGGGTGTTCAAGGGGGTCTCGGTGCCCAGGAATGGAAATGAGGCGGTCCCGGTGCCGCATAGGGAGGTTTAAGGGGGTCCCGGTGCTGACGGAGAGACTGCAGGGGGGTCCCGGTACCCAAAAATGGAAGTTCAGGGGGGTCCCGGTGCCCAGGAGTGGGTGTTCAGGGGGGTCTCCTTCCGGGAATGGGGGCTCAGGGGGTTCTCATGCCCAGAAATCGGAATTCAGGGGGTCCCGGTGCGGAGGGAGAGGGTGCAGGGGGGTCCCGATGCCCGGAAATGGAGGTTCAGGGAAGTGCCGGTGCCCGGCAATAAAGGCTGAGGAGGTGCCCGTTCCGGGGGTCCCACTTACCCTCGGGCTGCCCCCCCGAGACCCCCAGGAGCGCCAGGAGCGCCCCCAGCCCCAGCGCTGGAGCCATCGCGCTGCTCCGCTGGCCCCGCCCACACAGCAGCGTCCGGCCCCGCTACTTCTTCTGCACCAATGGCAACCCGACTGGGCCCTGACGTCACCGGTCACCGGGCAGATCCCGCCGCCGCAGGTTGGGAGACGCGACAGTGCCCGAGGCAGCGCGGGGGAGGGGAGGGGACGGGGGAATTCCTGGGAACTGACCGGAATGTCCTTTGGGAGCCCTGCTGGGACCACCCTGAGTCCTCCTGAGACCCTCTGCAACCCTCCGCGGCCACGTCTTGCGTGGGCTCCAGGGGGTCTCAAAGTCAAGGCTCTGCCCGGAGCCGAGCTGGCCAGGGAGCGCCCACCGGGGGGATTTAAGGCAGTGCCCGCGTTTCGGTCCTGTCCAGCCCAGCCGGTGTTGGCCAGGGGCCCGTGCTGGCTGCTGGCCCCGCTCCTCGCTCCGTCCCGCTCGGGTCCCACCTCCCTGCTCTGCTGCTCGGCTCGGATCCGCTCTGCTCCCCACCCGCTTCCCTCCAGCGCTGCTTCCCTGCCTGCCCGAGCCTGACTGCACCCGCTTCTCTCCCTGGGCTGGGAACCTTTTTGCACTTTCCTTTGGCAGCCTTTCCTTTTCCTCATCTCTCCCTCTTCTTCTCCCCCCCCCTCGCTGTTACCGTTCCTTATTGGTATCAATAAAGTCAGTTGTGTGTGTGAGACCCAACATTTGGAGGTTTGGGCCTTAATCTCGCCCTGGAAGGAATCATCTAAAAGAAGCAGGTTGCAGCCCCTGTCCGGTCTGTAACAGAGTCCCAGGGTCAGGGGAAGGGGGGGGAGGCCACTGGGAGAGGTGGGATGGAGATTCAGGGGGTCCCTGTGCCCAGGAAAGGGGGGTCCAGTGGTCCCCGGTGTTGAGGGAAGTGGGGGCTGGGGCTGGGAAAGGCAGGAATGGGGGTCTGGGGGTTCCCAGCATCAAGGAAAAGGGAGGATCAGGGGGCTGGGAGAGGCGGGATTGGCAGGAAAAGGGGCACAGAGGGGTATTTGTTGAGGATAAGGGAGTTCAGAGGGGTCCTGGTGCCAGGGATAGGGGTCCAGGGGGGTTCCCGAGCCCAAGAATGGGGGTTCAGGGGGGTCCCAGGACTCAGGACTGGGGCTCCAGAGGCGTCCCTGTGGCCGGGAATGGAGGTTGAGGGAGGTTCCCATGCCCGGGAACGGGTGTTCAAGGGGGTCTCGGTGCCCAGGAATGGAAATGAGGCGGTCCCGGTGCTGCATAGGGAGGTTTAAGGGGGTCCCGGTGCTGAGGGAGAGGGTGCAGGGAGGTCCCAGTGCCCGGAAATGGAAGTTCAGGGTGGTCCCGGTGCCCAGGAATGGGTATTCAGGGGGGTCTCCTTCCGGGAATGGGGGCTCAGGGGGTTCCCGTGCCCAGCAATCGGGATTCAGGGGGTCCCGGTGCTGAGGGAGAGGGTGCAGGGAGGTCCCAGTGCCCGGAAATGGAAGTTCAGGGTGGTCCCGGTGCCCAGGAATGGGTATTCAGGGGGGTCTCCTTCCGGGAATGGGGGCTCAGGGGGTTCCCGTGCCCAGCAATCGGGATTCAGGGGGTCCCGGTGCTGAGGGAGAGGGTGCAGGGGGGTCCCGGTGCCCGGAAATGGAGGTTCAGGGAAGTGCCGGTGCCCGGGAATAAAGGCTGAGAAGTTGCCCGTTCCGGGGGTCCCACTTACCCTTCGGCTGCCCCCCCGAGACCGCCAAGACCCCCAGGAGCGCCAGGAGCGCCCCCAGCCCCAGCGCTGGAGCCATCGCGCTGCTCCGCTGGCCCCGCTGGGCGCAGTTCGGGAGACGCGAAAGCGAAAGTGGCCGAGGGAGCGCGGGGGGCGGGCCCGGGGGAATTGCCGGGAATGCCCCGGGATCCCCTTCGGGACCCCTCCCGGCACCGGCCCGGGTCCCCCCGCCACCCCCGGGCCCCCTGGACGGGCCCGAGCGGCGGGACCCCCGGGCCGGGCCGAGCTGAACTCGCGGGCCCTGCGCTTAAACTCGGCCTTAAAGGCGCCGCTTTGGGGCCAAAGCGGGGGAAGCGCCGCGATCAGCGGATGCCGCGGGGGCGGGGGGCGATCTCCCTGGGCCAGTGCCCGCCCTGGGCAGCCCCCACTGCCCCCCGCAGGGGTCCCGGGGTCGAGGCAAAGGGGGGCTCCCAAAGCCCCTGCCAGGGGGGAGCGGGAGCTGGGGCAGGAGCTCCGTGGGGAGAGAAAAGGGGGTGACGGCGGGATGGGGGTCCCGGGGGGGCACACACGCTCCGGGGGGGACACACGACCCCCGGGGACCCCCCTCAGCTCCTCCCGCGGGCGGAGGCCGAGCCCCAGCCCAGGGAGACGAAGGCAAAGACGGAGCCCCGACCCCCGTCAGCATCTTGGGGGGGCGGGGGGGCAGGACCCGGGAAACGGCGGCGGCTGGACTGGGAACTGGGACAGACTGGGATGGACTGGGATGGACTGGGACAGACTGCCGCCAGCCCGGGCACATCGCCGGGGCTGGGACTCCTAAAGCAGCGGCTCCGGGCACATCGCCAGGGCTGTTTCCCGTAAACCGCGGCCGGTTCAGCACAGGGAGCTGGGATTCCGGGCCAAGCCGGGCGGGCACTCGGGGAGGCGGTGGCGGAGCTCGGGCGCGGCCCCGGCGCGGCTGGAGGGGCCGGGAGGGGGGTCCGGCGGGTTCGTCCCGCCCTGTCCCCTCCCCAGGGCCCGCGCAGGGAGCGGCTGCCCGCGGGCTCCTCCTTCCCGCCCAGCCCCGGCGGGCTCGGAAGGAGCCGCTGCCGCAGCAGCGCTGCCTCGTCCCGGCTCCTCTCGCTCCGACCCCTTTGGCTGCCCCGGGCCCGCCACTGCTCCCGCCCGGGGGGGACCGGCCTTGCAGCCGCATCGGCTGCTGCCACATGGCCCTGCTGGGGCAGGGCTGGCACGGGAGGGGCTTGGAGTCCCTGCCAAGCCGAGCCGGGCTGGGACTGAAAGACAGACCCGGGCTGGGATGGACCGGGCTGGGAATATACTGGGATGGGGCTGTGGGATGGACCGGGCTGGGAATATACTGGGATGGGGCTGTGGGATGGACCGGGCTGGGAATATACTGGGATGGGGGTGTGGGATGGACCGGGCTGGGAATATACTGGGATGGGGGTGTCAGATGGACCGGGATGGGAATATACTGGGATGGGGCTGTGGGATGGACCGGGATGGGGGTGTTGAGCCACATCGGGGCTGTGGGGGCTGGGCTGGCCCAGGATGAAGCAAGTTTGCATTTGAGCTCAGTTCTCTCTTCCCAAGATTGCTGTGCCAGATCCAGAGGGAATTTGGGAGGGGGAAGGAGGATGTGAGACTAAGAGGAGCAAGAAGAAGCAGCTTTCTCCTGCCCGTCCTGCTCTGTCTCCCCTGGGCCTCCCCCTACAGCCCAGCCCAGCCTGGGGGTCCCTCTTTGGGGTCCCCGTGACCCCCAGGTGTCTCCTTGCAGGGACCCCTCAGGTCAGGGCTGAATTCCTCTTGGATTTGCAGACAAAAAGTGGAAATTCCTGCTGACTGGTTGGATTCCCTCTCCTTTGGTGTAGTGGTTTGAACCTTGTTTTCCCCAGAGGCTAAGAGAAGTGGTAGACCCCAAGGGGTGGAAACCCCTGGAAGTTTTGAAGTTCTGCCCAATGGGCGCTCCTGCAGAAATGTAAACATATCACAACCAGACCGGAAGAGATGAGTTGTAGTTTGGGTTGTTGTAGGAGAGGTGGCCATGTTGTAGAGCCACGAGGAAGGGGCTCTGAGCCCCTTGGGCCCTCTGGGGCCTCCCAACTCTTGGCTGGGGGGCTGCAGGGACCTGGAACAGCATAAAGCTGGGCTAGGTGCCTGTAGTTATGCCGGGAGATGTTTTCTCCATGGGTGCAGAGCAGCAGCCGACACTGACCAGAGAAACGGTGGCAGAGAGCCAGAGATAAGGACCTGAACCAGAGGAGCAGCAGAAACAACATGCAGCACCAGAGAAAAGACTCCTGGAAGGAGAGCCGAGGAAAGGAGAGCCAGCAGCTGAGAGCTACAGAGTTCTTGGGGGTAAGACTGATATCAACCCCCCAAAACTCCCTTGGAGACCCTCTTGGAGAAGAGGGACATAGACTCCTATTAAGGAGAAAAGTTTTAGACATGCAGCACTGGAGAGAGAGGAGCTGAGAAGCTCAAAAGAGCGTCCTGGAGCTGGACTGGGACAGCCAGATGGAATGCAGGGGGAGTTGACCTTGGCTCCCCCCTTGCACTGCTGCCACGGTGGCAGCCTGAGAGACAGGGCACAGAGGCCCTGCAAGAGATACCAGACCGTCACGAAGACCCCCCTGTGTCTCGTGATATGACCGTGGTGAAACGACCTTGTCTGGGGTTACAAAGCCCACGGAAGACCCCTTTGCCTGTGTCAAGGGGGCCGAGGGAGAGTTTGGATACCTCCCATGTGAGTGCTGGCAGAAAGCCAGCTATCAGCTGCTGCATGTGGAGAAGACAGACAGACTGCTGCCTCAGAAGATGCTGCTGCTTAAGGACTGGAAGGGATCTGTCCTTCTTTCCCTCCTGGACTTTTATTTGGAGGGGAGAAGAGATCTGGTCCATTGTAAATACTATCTGTCATGGTAGAGATAGTTTGTGATCGTGTGTATAATGTGATGTTATATTTATTTGTATAGTCATTGTAATATATTCCCTTTCCCCCACTTTGAGTCTGGTGTGTTTTGTCTGGAAAAAAACCCATCTCACATTAGGTTGAGATGTGGGAGGGGGATGGAGCTAGGGAATTGGATTTTTTGGGGCTATCTCAAACCATGACACATAGTTACAATTAAAGCTTCATTTTTTTTAACATCATGGTATGATCACTACAGCCCAGAATACCATGATTTGAGTAGCACAAGATTTCTATAGGCAGCACCAGCATAGCAAGATTTTGTAAGCCCTTTAGCACCGAATTGTACAGCACAGCTCAGCTTATGATGCCTGATCACCTGGACCTGATCACTCTGCAGGCCAGGGCACATCCTAATCCTTGGTTTGTTATGTGAATATAACGATCTTAATCTAGACTTGAAACACGTTAACAGAACAGGAGTGGCCCTTTCAGGGGAGAAGAGCCTGTTTGGTATTAAGATGGGGCTCTGTGTGCTGCTGTGCTGCCCTGTGCTGCTGTGAGGCCATCCCAGCCTGGCAGGCAGGTGCCTGTGACCTGCAAGGCCTGTGAGGAGCAAAGGAGTCGGCCTGGGGCCTGGAAATGTGAAGGCTGATAGGGAGGGGGAGAAGGGGTCTTCCTGGCGCACTGGACCTTCAGGGACTGACGATGAGGGCAAAGGGGACTCATGTAGGACCAGCTTGGTCACAGAGCACAGCTGTTTATGTCCTAAAATGCCCCCATATGAGCAGGAGGCAGGAGCAGAGGCACTGTTCACGAGTGCCATTGTTGATTGTCTTCATCAGAGAGCTCCTGAAGTGCTGCTGGGAGGACGGTAATACAGGACCTAGACATCAGGTTAGGGCAGGGGCATAAAAAGGTCACCTGAGAGGTGTAATGCAGGAGTAAATGCAGAGACTTTGTCTGGGTAAGGGATACAAGGAGCCTCCCCAAGGATGACAGGGATAAAACCAGCTGCTGCAAGACGTGATGAAAAAAGCCATCCAAGCAAAGTCATGCCCGAGCTGGATGCCCCAAGTATAAAAGAAGAAACACCTCGAAGTGGAGCAGGAGCCGTATGAACTGTGCTGAGCTGGGCAGGAGTGAAACCACCTGTCCTGAGAAGAACTGAGTAAAACTTGATGCCCCATTCCAGGCAGGGGCCAAACCAGGCAGGTCAAGTGTTGTTAAATAACAACCAGCTGCATCCTTGGCGCATGAGAAACACTATCTGCCTGCTGAGCAGAGGTTACACCAGGTGTCCAGAGGACTGCCTGTTGCTAAACACCTCTGAAACTGTCGGGATAAATAGGACCCTCTAACAAATTGGCTTTTTACTGTTAGAAAGCAAGTGATTACTTTTATTTGCAGCCCTGCGTGTGCATGTGGCTGACAAAAATCCTGCCTCCGTACTGACAGCAAGACATCGCTTTTCACCTATTTATACAGATTTGGCAAACAAAGAAATTAATGTTCATTGCTTCCAAATTACATCACTCACTCCCTTTCATTAATTAGTATTCTATGTGGTATTGGTTATTAATTTCTCACTTTCTACTGTAATAACTTCATATCTTTAATCTTTTTTGTATATTTTCCCTCCCCTAGGGATTTTCTGACACAAATGCTGAGCCTTTGTTAGTCTTCTTCTTTAGCTGCTGGTTTCTGCAGAAGGTCCTTGTAGTCCATAAATCTTGTGTTCCAGATCTCCTCCTTCAACAGGACATCTTTCTCTGACAGGCTTTCACCACTGAAGCATAACAGGGTTAACTTCAACAAAACTTACAGTTTTAGGACTTTTCCCAGGCTGTGTTCTCCCAAAGGAGCTTATGACAATTTTTACTCCATGCTGGCTAAAGTTGATTTAAGGCTGAACGCACCGCCTATGATGTGTGTTAAAAACAACTAATCAAAAAGTTAATTAGGAACACTAAAAAAATTAGAAAAGTTTTATGATTTCCAACAAGCCCCAAACAACATAGGCCAAGTGCAGCAGGGACAAAACTGTCTCTATCCATTGATGCCAGGAAAAGGCAACAGTAGTAAAACTCAACAGCCACAGGTGCTATTAAGCCGGTATTTGTTTATTTCGGTGCCGGACGTGCAGGGGACAGCTCCGCCTAACACGCGCGTGCCCTCACCATCCAGAGTGGGAGTCTGGCTAAAGTTGCGGCTGATCCAAACCTAACCAACCCTAGCGGCAGGAGTAAATGTGAAGCTGCTAAAAAGCCATCCAGGAACGTTTTCAGAGCTTGAGGACAAGACAGCAGCTGGGCGGGGGCCAGCAGCCAGCCAAGGTCCTCCCAGCGCAGCCTCTGAAGGGTTCCTTTGGCAGTCCCAGTTCAGGGTCAGCCCATGGTTGTACCCTGGGGGCAGATGAAATTAATTGGAAAGGAACCCATAAGAGTCCAGGTGCTTTGCTAAGAGTCTCACCGATAGAAGTGGCAGTGAAACCCTCAGCGTCTTGGGGGCCAGAAAAGCTGTGACCTGGCTCAGTTACAGCCCTGAGCAGGCTTTTACTCCTCAGGCCGTGTGGCTCAGGGAAGGTGTGGGAGCTCTGTCAGAGGATGACTAGCCCTTTGCCACCAGCACGGGGGGAGGTCCAGTGGCTTCCACCTGGTGGACGTGCCATGTGGGTTCCTGTGCCCAAGAACCATGTGGTTCCATGGGGTTCCCTGTGGTTCCATGTGACCCCATGTCACAAAGGGGCAGAGATGTGGCACCCATCCGGTATCCTGAGGAGCGCGCCAACGAAAATCAGTTGGACAGAGTTGGCCTTCGGGATAACTCAGCTCCTTCCTTTGCTACTTGTGTGCCTGCCTTTTTTGGATGGTTTATTGGTTACTGACCATTTCTCCTCAACTTTCCTCCTCTTTCAAAGGTAATGCTTTGACTTTTGGCACAGATCATAGAGTAGGGTATAGGGGATAAAAGTATAGGCTGATTTATACCTTCCGAGCTGTAGGCTGAGCTGTTACAACTTTTAGAGGCTGGCCAGGTATGACCTAGGCTAGAATTCCAGTTTGCTGATTCTTGGTTTTTTTTCCATAGCCTAGGATAGGTAAGCAGGGAGGTGACTGTAGTCTGAGGGGATGGGCTCAGCCCACCTTGACTGCTGTGGGAGGGAGGGAGGCAGAAAAAGGAGAGCAGCAAAGGCAGCAGTTAAAGTAGTGGCTGAAAGACGGTCACTCCTAGGAGGTGGGAAAGCCAGAGGGCTCTGTTGCTGAAGCAGTGTCAGGAGAGCAGCAGGGCCTCTTCAGAGAAGGTACCGTACATTGGAGCATTTCAAAAGGGCCTTTGAACCCGCTGTGAGTTGGTGCCCCGCGCCTGATCATAAGGGCGTGAGCTGCAGCTCAGCAGCAGTTCCGAGCACCACTGAAAGACTTGGTGGGGGATGCCGTTCTGCGTTTCTTTAGAGTTTTGATACTTTCGGTGAGCTACAGTTATTTCTTTGCAACTAGGGGACGGGATTGGTGCTGTTCTCTTTCTGGAGAGAAAGACATCCTTGGTCATCTAAAGCATTGCACTCTCTTCCTGAGAGAGGCAATGGCCACAGCAGGGAACGACTCCTGTGAGTAATAGCTTCACCAGCAGGTTTGGACTTTGTGAACTGCCACAGGCAACTGACATGGCTGGTGGTCAAATCCCAGAATGATGTGCTCACAACCTAGAGTGATCTCTGGGATGTTTCCGGAGAGCAGTCCAACTGACCCCCGTGTTTACAATTAGACCCAGGAAAACACCTTTTGTCGCTCCTCTGACACTAGGTACAAGACTTTGAAAGCTGCCATTGCTCGTAGAGAGGTCTGCCATCCTTTGGGTTACCTTCCGTGCTCAGTATTTACTTGTTTTCAACAAGTTCCAATCAGGAAAAGGGATGGCTTCACTGATAATCCAGTCTAGAACTCTACTGAGAAAGGAAGGTAGCCTGCGGCCCAGAAATCAGATGGTGGGTTTGTTGGACTCTCAGCAACGTAAACAGGGGAATGGATTTTTCCAAAACAGTAAATTTAAATGGCACTGTTTAAGCTTCCCCTGATGTTGTTGGGTTGGCAGTTGAAGCAGATGGTCCTGAGTGCTCCTGTAGAGACCTCACTGTTTAAATATGCCTTTGTGCCTCATTTCATCTCTTTTCAAATGGAATTTCCCTGCAGTCATTGCCGAGGGAATGACTCCGCCACAAAGGATCCTCTTTCCCCCCGAGAAGATTTGCATGGTCTGGCAGCAAAGACAGAGTGCTGGAGCAGGACTCCGCAATGTGGGCAACACATGCTTCCTTAATGCTGTCCTGCAATGCCTGACATACACCCCGCCGCTGGCCAACTATCTGCTCTCCCGGCAGCACAGCCAGGCCTGTGAGTACTCTTAGGGACATCTCCCTGTGAATCTGTTAATCAAATCCCAAGGATTCCCAGAACCTGAAATTTGATTTAGGAGAAAAGCAGCCCTTTGTCAGCCCCAGAACTTGTGTTCTTTGTACACTCAGGAGCCACCTGTCCTGTCCAGCTGTCTTATTCTTCATGAAGGCACATCCTTCTAGCTCTGGGTCTCTCTTCCTGCAAGTTAAAACCTCAGTTTAGCATTCCTCTGAAGAACATTTTCTATGCACTAAAACGTCCCGTGCTTGTTGAAACACTGGGAGGAGTGGCATATTGCACTGGAGTGGGAGCGGAAGAAGAGGAGTATTCCACCACGAGGGATATTTTGCTAACCAGAGGACCTTCTCTCCCTCCCTCCTCAGGTCGCCAACAAGGCTTCTGCATGATGTGCATCATGGAAGCGCATGTTAACAAGGTCCTGCATTCAGTCAGTGCCATCCTGCCTTTGGCTGTTCTCAGGGCTTTCAGATGTATGTGATTTCAGGTTCTTTGACAGGTTTTCTTCCCTTCCTGTAGGAGACAACTACTAACTTCCTGTTTCTTAGTCATAGGAGAACATTTTCAGCTTGGCAGGGAGGAAGATGCCCATGACTTCCTTTGCTGTACTGTCAATGCCATGCAGAGAGCTTGTCTGGGTGCAAGCAACGAGTAAGCACAAGCAAGTTACCTTTACAAAGTTCTGAGCCCTTTGGACTCCTTGATGTGGCCTCATCAAGGAAAACCTCCAGCCGGGGCTTGGAGGAAGTAATGCTCTGTCTTCCTACTTGTTTCCAGCTTGGACATATCATCTCAACCTACTACCATTGTCCATCAAATATTTGGAGGCTTTCTGAGATCCAGAGGTATGTTTCTACAACAGCTGCTCTCCTTGGCACTGCCTGTGCCCTTCTGTCTGCCTGTGCCCAACAGCTGGCCCTGGGACTAGCAGGACAGGTACAATGAGCACAAAGCAGTACCATCGTTCAGCTCACCATTGCTCGGCATTTTGATTTTTCCTTCCAGTCATCTGCTTCAGCTGCAAAGCCATTTCTGATTCCTATGAGGCCTTCCTGGATGTCCCCTTGGATATCAAAGTAAGAGGTTTTGCAGTTGTGCTTCAAGACATGGCAAGGCTTTTCAGAGTCCACACATTTGTCCTGAAAGCATAGACTGTGAACACCAGAGGTCTTGGTCGTGGATGGGAAGGGGAACGGATGTTGTCCTCCTGCAGAGGCCATGGCACTGGTCTCTCTGTAGGTGCTGGCTTGAAGCTGGACAAGCACCCATTATGCGCTCTGCACCCTTGACATATCCTCATCCTTCTTTCCTTTGCCCTCCTTCAACACCTGTCTGGCTTCCAGGCTGATGGGTTGGATTGTTTTCACTACTGATGACCCTACATAATAACAGCAGTAGCTCAATGGCAGGTGAGAGAGAGAGGGAGCTCTTGATTGCCCCTGAGAACCTCTGGGACAGGGGAAATGTTCAGCACCACACTCTCTTTCTGGCTCCTTCTGGATACAGTTTGCAGATTCATGGCGGGTCTCCTCAGCATCAGCTACAGGGGTTTTCTTGTCAGCTCCTGGAAAATGTTTGGGCCAGGGCATTTGCTGTAGCTCAGTGCACCGATTTCTCAATTCTCCAGGCAGCCTCATCCCTCCCTGCAGCTCTGGAGGACTTTGTAACACCTGAGCACCTGGATGGTGAAAACTGCTTTCAATGTAGCAAGTAAGATGATTCCTAACAACATATTAACACTAGACTCTGTGGGAGGGGGCTACAAGTCATTGAGCAGAAGTCATCTTCTCGTGGAAGTTTACCGCACACTGATGAGACACAGTTTTGTTTGACTGGTTTTTTGGGGGAGAGGGGTTGGGGTTTTTTCTTTGTTTGTTTGTTTGTTTGTTTGTTTGTTTGTTTTAAATATGGCACCGAATTGCCTTAAAATAGCATAAGGATGCACGAGACAAGAAAGGTTGTCTGACTGCCTTGGTGGAAGATAGGGTGCATTTCAGCGCTGTGCTCTGGGCTTGGTTTCAAGGTGTGAGAAGAATGTTGCCGCCACTAAGAGGTTCACTGTCCACTGTGCACCCAAGGTTCTCACTGTGTGTCTGAAGAGGTTTGACTGCTTCACTGCTGGGAAGATCAGCAAGGTGTGTACACTATTGGTGTGCAGCTTTCTCTTCAAGAAGCAGATTTCCTAAAGCAGTATGCTTGTCACAAGCTGCTTGTGTTGGGTTTTTTGGGGTCCCTTCTGGGGAGTGGAAAGTTCCTGTGGGAAGACAGGCAAGCCCTGTGCTCTGATAGGGCTGCTTTGACTGAGAAGGGTTTCCTGCCACCCAAACGATTTTATGTTGCTTTATGGAAAACCAAGTGCCCATGAGCCCCCGAGATGTATTGATACACCTGGACTGGCCCCTGCACTTGGTAGGCAATTTCATGTCACAGACCAGGGTCATTTCTGAGCCCTCTTGGTCTCTCCATAGGTTGTAGAGTATCCGGAGTACTTGGATCTTCGCCCATACATGTCTCAGGCAGATGGAGAACCACTCCTCTACTCCTTATATGCTGTCCTGGTGCACAGTGGTGTCAGCTGTCATGGAGGACACTATTTCTGCTACACAAAGGTAAAAGAGCAACTTCCTTCCCATGTCTCAGGCAGATGGAGAACCACTCCTCTACTCCTTATATGCTGTCCTGGTGCACAGTGGTGTCAGCTGTCATGGAGGACACTATTTCTGCTACACAAAGGTAAAAGAGCAACTTCCTTCCCAATGGGGAAAAAGGTGTGCTGGGGAAGATAAACTTTCCTGTCAGTGTTAGTGACAGGCAAAGTTTTGGGGCAGAAGGCCTCCTTAGTGGCTGGACTGCATTTGTTTTGACATGCTCTCGGTTTGGCAGTTTCCTACCCGTGTTTTTGGAGAGAAACCATGGAGAGATCCTTGCCTTTTTTTTACAGGCCAGCAATGGATTGTGGTACCGGATGGACGATGAATCTGTGCAGCTGCGTTCCATTGACACAGTTCTCAGGCAGCAAGCCTACCTGCTGTTCTATGCCAGGTAATAACCAGGATTCAAATCTGTTCAGAATACATTTCCTTTTCCTCATTTGCACTTGTGCTTCTCACCTTCCTGAGTGTTTTTCTCATCAAATGAAATTACTACCTGCATCATTCAGTGCTGTCAAATCTGAACTACTCCGTGTCTGTCCTTTACTGGGCTTCAGGCTGCGGCCCGGATGGAATCTGCTACTTACCTGGTCTCTGATGTTGACTCTTGTAGATAAGAGGACTTAAAGAGGACCTCCAGGAAAGATGGGGAGGCACCATTTGTCAGGGAATGTAGTGACAGGATGAAGGCTATCAGTTTCCAGCTAACAGAGGGCAGGTTTACACTAGATATTGGGAAGGAATTCTTTGCTGTAAGGGTGCTGAGACACTGGCACAGGTTACCACAGCATCTGTGGGGGCCCCATCCCTGGAAGTGTTCAAGGCCAGGTTGGACAGGGCTTGGAGAAACCTTGGAATAGTGGAGGGTGTTCCTGCCCACCACAGCGGGGTGGAACAAGATAAAGGTCCCTTGCAACCCAAACAAGTCTGTGAATTTATGAAATGGAGGCTGTGGGAGGTATAGAGATGAGGTTTTTGTTGGGACAGAGGCAAACTTGGTGGGAAGACCCACGCTGAGTTTCCCATTAGTGTTCTTGGTTAAGTCTTCTCTCTGTCACAGAAGCCTCTCTGAGAAAATGACTGAACCCCA